ACTGAAATTTCTGAAATGAGAACCACCTGCTCCTGGTAGTAACGCAGCATCTCTTATTGGAAAGTCAAACAGCTATTTCAGTAGAGTCTGGGAGAAAAATAAGCTACAAGAAAGAAATTCTGCCAGAAGCTTCAGCAGCAGTCCTGTGAGACCAGAAAGGAAGTACAGCAGATCCGTCAGACTCTGAGAGCCCGGCAGAAGGCTGCTGGTTCCAGCGAAGTTAAGACACAGCAGAATTCAAAATACAACAAAAGATGAAGGAAAATCACAACAAAAGATGAAAGAATATAGTAAAAGAAATGCAGCAAGGGAAAAAGGGGGTGGTGTTAGGAAGAGGCCGAGGTGCGGCAAGCAGAGTGTAGTCTAGCAGTTGACCTACTGGGCAAGGGGTTGAGAAGCTGAACCCCAGCAGAACTGGCCGGTGCTGTGACAATGGCATCCTTCAAACCATTGATGCTACAGTGGTTTCATTTGTTGAGCACCCTCCCTAATAGCTTGAAAGTAGAGCTGATACATGTCTCTAAAATCAGTTTTTAAGCAGAAAAAACCTAAGACCGCATGTTTGCCTGCACCATGTGGTTTATGCGGCGGTGGAAGCTGGCTTAGAAGTGTCTGCAAAGGGCCAGCTTGTAACACTCTTATCTAAAGGAGCACCTTGTTCTTGGATGTCACTGCCCTCGGCTGTCTGCTCCATTAGATGAACTTCCACATTTTTCAAGAGCGAGTTGAAAATATGAATAATAGAAGGGAAGATGACATCCAGAAAGAAGGAGAGGGACAGAACCTGTCCTCAAGCCATACGCAATATTTGGGTGGGAGGTGCTGAGAACATACAACTATGGCTTTCGATTTTAATTGCAATGGAATTTAAAGGAATTGTAATTAATAGGGCATGAAAGCTCAGACGGAGTGGCCTGGCATAAACCGAGCCTGTGGTTAGTTTAAACATCTATCACACTGACCTCTCGTAAATCAGGGTCAGGAAACAATGAGAGGGCAGGCGAGTGTTTGCGCTGTTGTTTGCTGACTGGCTGTTTAAAGGAATGCTGGAAGAATGTGCCAAGAATCTGGCTTTGTCAGGAAAAAAAAAAAAAAAAAGTTCTTGTTTTCGAACAGACTGACGGATCTCTGGAGACAAAGAGGAGGGAGCTGGCACATAGGTGAGGAACCCTAACACCAGAAGCAGGACTTCTAGAAGTTTCTCCAGGTGGTGCGAATCGTAACAAGAGGAAGAGAAGCCCAAGGCATGGGGCTGTTCCATGCACGACCCGAGGGCTGAGGGTGGGAGCGAGGTGGGGGTTACGGCATCTTGGCACCACGAAAGGGTTGTGTCAGGAAGGTGGCTGAGGGAACTGCCCCTTGTGACACGAGTTCTGCCTTTGCCACCAAAATCCAGGCCAGGATCACAGAATCACATGAGGTTGGAAGGGACCTCTGGAGATCATCTAGTCCAATCCCCTGCCAAAGCAGGGCCACCCAGAGCAGGTTGCACAGGAACGTGTCCAGGTGGGTTTGAATGTCTCCAGAGAAGGAGACTCCACCACCTCCCTGGGCAGCCTCTTCCAGGGCTCTGCCACCCTCACAGGAAAGAAGTTCCTCCTCATGTTTAGGTGGAACTTCTTATGTTCAAGTTTGTGCCCATTTCCTCTTGTCCTTTCACTGGGCACCACTCAAAAAAGACCGGCCCCGTCCTCCTGACACCCTCCCTTTAAGTATTTATAAACATTGATCAGATCCCCCCTCAGCCTTCTCTTCTCTAGACTAAAAAGACCCAAGTCCCTCAGCCTCTCTTCATAAGGGAGGTGCTCCAGGCCCCTCATCATCTTTGTAGCCCTCTGCTGTACCCTCTCCAGCAGTTCCCTGTCCTTCTGCAACTGGGGAGCCCAGAACTGACACAGGAGCTAAGGGATAAAAATACTTATTTTTTATTCTGAGCTGTTTTTCTATGTCCACATTTTTGCTAACAATCATTATTCTAGGAATGTTAGACATAAATAAAACCTACATTTTGTCTTTCATAAAGCAGTTAATGCAGACGGTGGCATATGAATGCTTAATTGCATATTTTAAAACTAACTTTTAGAGCAATTTTGGTATGATGGCTTTGCATTGAATTAACACAGAAGAGTGATGGCAACATCCCAGGATTTTTCACCTTAGATGAACCTATAGACAAAAGATCAAATCATAAATGCTTGTTTTCCTGGAATGACTAATTAGAAGACTTTTGAAAATACCCTGGTAAAGGGCTTTTGCAAAGTGTGTCAGGGCAGAAGAAAATTAAAAACAAAACAAAACAAAGCCAAAAATGCCTCCAAACCCTAAATTCTTAAATAATTGTTTATAAGTTTGCAGCTCTTAATCTGTTAGCTATTAGTTATGTTATGGATAAATACAGTGCTATCTGCTGGGACCCTACGTTTCTCTGTATATCAAAACTATCCGAGGGTGTAAAAGCAGCAGCTCCTTTCAACAGCAGCAGAGGACATTAGCCAGACCCTTAGGGTTTCATGTATCTTGGTACTATAATTTTGCTTAAACCTAAACATGGAAATCACCTACTTCCTTGATTTTTAAAATACTTCCCACCCACCCAATTATTTCAGTTGGAGCCATGGGCTGGGGTAAGTCAGGGATGGTATTTTTGGACTGTAAAACACACGTTTCTAGAGCAGTCTGGGGTCAAAAGCGAGAGCCAGCAGAGGATGAGAAAAACTGGTTCTGGAAAGAAACTGGAGAAAGGTAGCACTGGCATCGGGGAGGACAGCGTAAACCCTGGAGAGCAGGGCAGGGCTATTTAAAGAAGCTAACTTCAGGACATTTATTTATTTAGAGCTTGTTCTCAGTGAAACGTCTTGTTCTCTCCTACGTCTTTACAGTTTTAAGCTGTGATCCCATCTGCTCTAACATCGAGACCTGCCTTGGAAAATACCAGGAGACCTCAGCAGGATGCTGGAGATGACTCTGGTAGCTGCGTCGCCGTCTCTGCTCTGCCACAAGAACCTCCAAGTCCTGAGGGAACGCCGTGCTTCTGGCGAGGCGCTTGGGCTGCTGTGTAAACCAGAGACTGTGAAAGTCCTTCTCATCCTCCCAACCCTTCCAAAACCAGCAGGGTAAGACCCCACTGCCCCTGGCCTGGTTCAGCCCGAGGCTGTTCCCCACAGGCTTAGCTGATACCTAACACCTGGTGGCCGCTCCTGCAATATGTAGATTTTATGATTTTACATGGTTTTATGCTTTGACTGCAGAAGGGTTTCTCTTTGCAAATTAAGGTGCAAGATGCAGAGGTTCTGCCTGCTCCGTCGGGATAATTACTGTGTTGTGACGTGGGTGAAACTACAGCTTTAGGCAGACCAGGTTTGTTCTTGAGGAGCCTCAAGGAAGAAAGCTCCAGCATTTAAGTGCAGGTGAACTACAGAGCAGAAAAAAAGCAGCTGTGATCCGTGCTGGTTGTTATGATTCATAAATGAAATTTTATATTCTACTTTTTTTTTCTTACTAGAAATGGGGCTTGTAAGGTGTTTTTTTATAAACTTTGGAAAGTCTACATAACGGCTGAGAACAGCTACGAGGTGCCTTTCTCTCCTCAGGCAGCGAAGATTTACCGCAGCAGCCCAGGCTCCGTATCAGTGGATGAACGTTTGGTGAGTCGAACCGAGAACTGAATGACCATGTTCCCATGCTCTTTAGTAATGTATTAAATGCTGTACCAAAAAATTTGAATTCTAGTAGTTAACAGTAGTACAAGCAACCCTGGTTTTAGGCCAATGCTGTTCTACTAAAGGAGGCTTAAGGACTGTTTGCAGTAACATCCACATTGAAAATTATACTATTTTCATGTGTACACCTATATTAACTTGAAACTGTGGCTCTGATCGTGCTAAGACTGGATGGGGGCTTCACTCGGGGCGCGTGAGCAGCTCTGTTCAGTCGGCCTGGGTTGCTCTGTAGGAACAGGCCTGTCCGCTGGGGTGTCTGTTTGTTATTCAAATACAGAGAACACTCAATCCGACGTCTTGAGCAGCTTTAACACGCAATTTTCACAACCTATTTTGACTTCACAAAATGCTGTTGTCCTTTTGCTTTGAAGTCATTTGCATGTCTCAAAGACTGCTGAAGTCGAGACAGTTCTAAACACAGTTTAAGGGATGGGTAAGGATGCGCCCGACCCAAGCCTTGAGATCAGCCTGAGGCAGTGCCAGGATGTGCCTTGACCTCCTTCTTCCCTCCTCAACGGGAAAAGCGTTCTTATATTGGACTCTTTTTCTAAGGAATGCAACATAATGAGGAAAACACTGGACTCCAATTTGTAACCCGTGTGGGGAGAATATAAAACTATTTTGAGGCGTATTTTGGGTAGGCCGCTGCAAGATGGCTGAGGCCTGAACTCAGGCTGAGGCCTGACAGAATGCACTGCGTGCCAGAGCTGGCCTGGATACACACCTTCTGTGCTTGTCTGGGTGCTGGAGCTGGAAATACGGCAGCAACACGGGATGTTTGTTGTGCTGATTTGAGTCCTCAATGGCCAGGTTCCTCCTCCAGCCCCAGCTGCTGCCTAAGCTCCAGGAGACAAGGAAACCACCACGTTGAGCGATGGTGGTGGCACACACAGTCCTCTCTCTATGCCTCGCAAGCCAGTTAGCTTCTCCACTCTGATACCTTTGGCGCAAATCAGAGTATTTGTTTCCCTATTAAATTATTTGCTATTTTTCTTACAGTCTCTCATCACAGACCAGCAGCTGCCACTCGGTAGAGCGTCTCAGGGGTTCATGGGGTTTGTTTCTGCTGAGGGTTGCAAACTCACCCCCATTTGTGCCACGTCTCCCCATCAGCCTTCACCTCACCCCCAGCACCTGCCAAGCTTGTAAATGGGTTTCTGCCCAACGCGGGCTAAGAGGAATTGGGAGAAATGGAAATAAAGATGTAAGGAATACAGTAAAGCCTGAGATGGGAAGACCTAAAAGCCTCAGAAAATAAGACAGAGGGACTGTTAGCAACAACACTGCGATCTGTTCAGGTGCAGTAACACAGGTGTCTAACGTGGCTGATGAAATTGAAGACACAGATCGATTTTACAGAGCTGAGGCTGCCTCATACACAGCTTAGGGAAAACAGCACTGGAAGCTGACATTGGGTGTTTGCGGTTAAAAGCTCGAATGCAGTTAATAGCGTCATGTTATTATGTGAAATGCTTTCTGGAGGAAGATAAACAATTTCAGTTTATTATGGTTTTCTTTCCCATATGGCACAAATGGGCCCAGGACCAAACTGGCTCTCAGCAGCAAGCCTCCCATCTCCACACTCATTCAGCTGGTCATATTTAATCAGTTTTAGTTTCCTTCCTGTACACTCACTGGTGGATTCATTCCAGTCAATACTCTACAGTTAAAGTTTTCAATGACACCTCGTTTTTTTACCCTCCTTGACTCTTCTGCTGCTCATGCTACTGTTGAATACTCCTTTGTATCTCCTGTGCTTTTTTTTTCTCTCTGTGCCAGTGCTTATGCTGACCTGTTATTTCCAAAAGCTGACTTTATAGCACTCTCACCTCATTCCAGATTTCCTAAGAAAAAGCAGAAATGCTACTACAATAATTCTCATGAAAGCCCAAACAAATAAATCGATTCAACAATACTTGCATGATTCAGAAAGACAAAGAGATATTCATGCCCACATCAAAGAATGACACAATTGTACTTGCCTCTCCCTTTATTCTGGTACCTCCTCTTTTCATTCCAAGTTATATTGGTTCATGTTTTCCCAGTCTATCCAGATTAGGCAAGAAACATGTTTTTGGAGGTGCACAGTCATTGAAGGATGCAGGAATGTAGCTAGGCACCTGCCCAAGCAGGTGAAATCCCATAAAATATTCTTGGATGCTTAAGCACCTTTGAAAATCTGCCCCTGAATGTTTCAGAACAAGGGCTTATCTTTCCTGGAAAACAACAAACATTGGTGAGTGTCATTAAAACCTACGGGACTAGCAAGGGTTTGGTTAAAACACACCAGGGTAGAACACAACGTAAAAACAGGGTGTAACTGGAGAAAAGCAATCCGAAGAAAAAGGGACTGATATTTCTAATAGCTTAGCAAAATGTACTGAGGAAAGGCAATTCAAGATAACTGTGTTTTCTGGCATTGCTTCCAAAACATTTTAGCTAAATCCCAATGTTTTTCTATGCAAATTGAATTGCTATGAAGGCATAACATATATCTTCCAGCGAGAGAGTTGTCCCTTGTATAACCTCATGACTTAATGGTGCTGTCAAGCGTACAAAGCTTTACTAACAGTAGGACCAATGGATTTTGGAACACGTGTAGTAATGATTTAATGTAATGCAATTTCGCATCATTAGAAATGAGATTTTCTTACCATTGTTAGAGGCCCAACGATGCAGGTCTAAGAGTCTGCTGGATCATAATACTACAAGTCATTTTTGTTTCTTTCTTGTACGGAAAAAAAGGGGAAATCTTTCATGCCACTCCTGAAACAAACTAAAGGTCAGCCTTTGAATGGTATCCAAACCTTTTTCTCTCTTAGTATTACAAATAAATGGCTGTACTGCAGACTCCAGTAGTTTGTCAGTAGTTCATTGCTCCGTGCAGCAGCAGAAGGAACGAGGCATGACAGCAAAGTATTTAACTAATTAAGTTTCTGTGGATTTGGAACCCCCTTTGTGTTCCAAAACAACCACTGGCAACGGTGAAAAGTTCAGCTGCGGATGCGTGTGTGTTCCTGGGAAGGTACAAAGGAGCTGAGGGCTGGTGTACGGACAGGGAGGAAGGCAGTGTCAGCCAGCACTCCATAACACCACAGATAGAATCATAGAATCGTAGAATCATAGAATTGCCCAGGCCAGAAGGGACCTCCAAAGGGCATCTAGTCCGACCCCCCCGCAGTCAGCAGGGACACCCCCAACTAGACCAGGTTGCCCAGGGCCTCGTCGAGCCTCTCCTTGAATATCTCCAGGGAAGGGGCCTCCACCACCTCCCTGGGCAACCTGTTCCAGTGCTCCACCACCCTCACAGTAAAGAACTTTCTCCTAATCTCCAATCTAAATCTGCTTCCCTCCAGCTTAAAGCCATTGCCCCTCGTCCTGTCACTACAGGCCTTTCTAAACAGGCTCTCCCCAGCCTTCCTGTAGGCCCCTTCAGGTACTGGAAGGCCGCTATTAGGTCTCCCTGGAGCCTCCTCTTCTCCAGGCTGAACAACCCCAGCTCCCTCAGCCTGTCCTCATAGCAGAGGTGCTCCAACCCCCCAGTCATCTTTGTGGCCCTCCTCTGGACCCGCTCCATCAGGTCCATGGCCTTCTTATATTGAGGGCTCCAGCCCTGCACACAATACTCCAAAAGTATACACCAAATAGGTGTCTGAAAGACAGCTGACAACCATCAAAGGCCTTACAGAGCCTCACCCACAACTGATGTCCCATTTTCCCTTCTAAAAAAACTGATGTCCCATTTTCCCTTCTAAAAAATACTGGGTGTTTTCCGTCTTTTCTGCAAACTGAAGGACAACCTTTCTCCAATGTGTTAGTGCTCCCTTCTCCATTCCCGTTGTCTTTTTTTCCCTCTCATCATTTATGGTAAGTGCGGAATATTGCTCTTTCTTATCACAGAATTGTCCTTTTAACACCACAAAATAATCCCACAGCATACCTTTTGGCTTGTGATCCATCTTTTCCAGCTGGCCACGTGTTGTTGCGGGTTCCTCACTGCCCTGAATGCCCGGGTCAAACACAGCAGCCAGTCCCTGGGGGTACAGACACCGTTAGTTCAGGTACGGAACTTCCCTGGGGAAGGCATATAGTGTTAAAGGAGTGACTGTGAAAGGGGTAGGAAATGAGGCTGAAAGCTTTTCTTTCCCCTCCTTGTTGAGAGGAGGGGTGAAGTACCTGACGCTCTGCTTCTCCCACTTACCAGGTTTCAAACGTGGACTCATCCTCTTCCATTTTCTGTGCTCTCCGGTGAGTGCAGCCGGAGCCGGCTTTTGGGAGGCTGAATTCAGGTACCTCGCACCTGCAGTAACTCAGGTGTGTGAACTTCTCCCTCCAGTCTAAGGGGAAAAAGAATTCAAGATACCTTTCACAGTACACTTAGATACTGCATTCATCCCACATCTTGACATGGAGACTATCAGAGTCTTTGGAAAACATTTAAAAAGGTAAAAGAAGGGGAACACATTCCCAAATGTGAAGGTTTTTCCAAAGGGCAAGGATCCCTCCATCTCTACTACCCTCTAATGTTTTACTTTTGAGAGTCTCATTTTTAACTGGAACTGAATATTGACGTTTTCTAGGTAGCTAGAATCAGTTACAGTCTGTGTGTGTAACAAGTTTGATTACAGTAGGGGGTTTCACTGCTATTTCACCTGAGAAAATCAAAATACAAACATATGCAGAGAAGGTGATTTGGCCTTTATCTCCTCCAGTATAAAGAAATATTAAAATTTAAAACCTCAATATTGTTATGGAAATAAATGTTATTCTCACCACAGAGCAATAACGATGACTGGTAAGTCCATCTCCAAGTTAAGCATTTTACTGTGTATAAACTTTGATGATTTGACTCCTTCTCAGATCAGAAACTGTTCTGCAGCTGAACATCACACACAGTTAATATTGTATTTTGCAGGGAAATGTTGGAATTTTACATTATAGAAATTTATTAATAAAACTCTGAGGATTAACACAATATGGTCAGGAAATATAACACTAATGGTAAGTAATCAAAAAAACCCAGACGCTATTTTCTACTTTGTTCAAGTACAAATACAAGAATGCAGCAGCTAATTGATTTGAAATAAAGGTTTTCATTACAGAGTTTTTAGACTATTTAAATTCTCTTTTTGAAGCAGGAACTACTTGATATTCAGACCATACCTATATGTAGTAACATGAAGCCCTCAATGGTATTCAGTTAACCAAATTGCAGGAGTTATTTGTCTTTCTCTCCAGAAAATCACTTTCAGATATTTTGCAATTGGACCAGATGTAAGCATGAATGAGGTAAATAAAGTCTAAAACTTGATGGCTGATAAACATTTATGTAACTTTAAATCAATTACTGCGCAGGGTAATTCCACGGGTAGGGAAAGGATGCTGGTGTTAAGAGCACGAGAAGAAACACTGAGATAAAAATGGATGCCCACCAAATACACAAACACGATGTCCAGAAAAATACCAGATTGTAAAGAACACGCTCTCTTCTCAGTACCAGGTGTTGCTGAACTGATTAAAAAAAACCAAACACACGTTGCTTTGTGGGTCACAGGATGCAGCCACAACTGGAGAAAAGTTTAGTGGCCTTTTAGATAAAGGAATGGAATCCACAGTATTATCAAACCAGGAGACAGCTACAGAAAAACTTATGATTTTTTTTTTAAACTATCTGAGCACACAAAAGAAACTCAATATTAATCAGACACATATGCATAATTACCTCTGCCCTCAGTTACACTAATGATATTTTGGAATCTGATTATTAAAGTACTTGAAAAATAATTTTTTAGATGGAAGTGCTTCAAGCAAGGAGTAACGGGGATGGCCCCTGAGACATCTGGACATGTTCCCATACATAAAGGTACAAAATCCAAATACGATATTAGAAGAGAAAACCACCTCTGATGCACAGTATAATTGCACATGCAAATTCACTACTCAAATCTATATAGTGTTTTTTTCACAATGTTAAAAATATTATGGCAGGAGGAAATAAAATTGATTTGACGAAACATTCCAGTTCTTCTCATCCTTTTTATAAATCTGGTCTTTTCTATGAAGTCTGTAGATTTTAATAATCTGAATCTTCCAGTGAAACAACTTTAACACTGCCTGAATTATGTGCATCTACAGAACTTCATATTTTCACACTAATTTCACACTAATTCACTTGCTCCATTTTTTGTTGTTGTTGCTGAAGGCTGATCATTGTAGCAAGGCGACTTGGATTGTAACTTTTTAGGAAGTCTGGTCTTTTCAATGAAGTCTGTAGATTTTAATGATCTGAATCTTCCAGTGAAACAACTTTAACACTGCCTGAATTGTGTGCATCTACAGAACTTCATATTTTCACACTAATTTCACACTAATTCACTTGCTCCATTTTTTGTTGTTGTTGCTGAAGGCTGATCATTGTAGCAAGGCGACTTGGATTGTGACTTTTTAGGAAGTGAGGAAATAAAGGAAATAATCTAATGGATGTCCTGGACTAAGTGTAAGCCTAAGTAAGTCTGCCTACGCAATGTGCCAATACTACTAAATCCATAGAAATCAGATGGATTAAGAAAATCTTTAACACTCTCATAAAATAAAAAGAGATGAAACTCTTTTCACCAGCTTCTCCCAGGGGCTGTATGGAGTGCTTTCTTCTCTAAAACAGAGAAAAGTTATTCTATGAGGGAAAGCTTTTCCACAGAAATCTTTCAAAATAGAGGTTACGAGAGTAAAGACGAGAGGGCTAAAGCATTTCTCTAGCAATCAAAATAATTCTTTGATCTTCTTCATTCCATTAACATCATGGATTTTATCCAAATAACAATTGCTTATGAGGCACAGGACACATACATAAGGTATATTTAGATTACCAGTTAAATACGTATTTTTGAAGAGCTTTTACGAGATGTGCAAAATACGCCAAAGCAGGAAAATAACCAACTGTGCAATGAAACAAGTCTTCTTAATATTTCTTTATTAGTTTAAAGGAACCTGAAGCCAATAACTATCTGCCTCTTGCAGTTCAGAGCAAAGCTACTGATATACAGCTACTTCCTTTGCATTGGCTTCCCTCGGGAAGTTGTTGAGAACAGGTACATACAGTACAAAATTAAATTTTTCACACTTAATACAGCATGTAAATTAACAAACTTCTTCAAACACGATGTATAAGGGAAGGAAAGAATCCCTAGAGTCTACAGTATTCATGAGTCAACTGGTTTTCTATGTTTTCCTATGCATTTGTTTTTCTCCAACACGGTCAGATCTGTATTCTTAAAAACAACAAATGGTTACATCAAGTCTCAACTCGGACGTGCTACAGAAATCAAATCATAACTGAACAATTGTCTGACTAGCATTAAACTTTTGTGTTTAATGAGGTTTAATTAAGAATATAAGCACAGGAGAACACTGTGTTATTTTTTTTACTTATTTGTGTCCTATAGAAGTAAAAGGATACGACGCAGAAATTGAAATGCACGGCATTATTTTGTCTAGATTAAAACTCAGCACATCAGACAGGTTACATTCTACGGTGATATGACATACCAAACCATGACATCTTCCAGTTTCAGATCAACGGTGTCCTGCACTGGTTCATTTTGTAGCAAGTGCTCTGATCCAACACACTCTGAGGGTTAAAACTTCTGTTCGGCAGAGGCTGTAATGGACTGCCAGCAATGCATCATCATACAACATACAGCTTCAGCTGAAACTTTTGAACTGTAAGATTAAATCAAACTAATGGTTTCAATTTGGCAGCAGCATATCTGAGCGAGACTAAAGGGATGCTGAAGTCAATACAATTCTGAAAAATAAACTCGACACACGGAATGGCACTCCTGAACCATCTTACGCAACGTGAATTGCAACGGGTAGAATGACGGACTGAACGAAGAAAAGACACAATGAGACTTGAGGCAGACAAATTATTAGTCAAAAGGCATCTTATGCAGTAATTTTAATACTTAAAAAAGGTAATAACTTTAAAAGCCCTCTACTTCACATTTTAGATAAGAGCTCTCACTTCTGTAAATATTAATCAGTATCTCTAGAGTAAATCCCTTATTACACTGAGTTGAAAGAAACACGAGTCAGTCAAACTGCTCTTCTGGGAGATGCTCCAGGGAGTGCAGTCAAATTTCTGCTTCACTGAGCTTACAGGTCTTCAGGTGAGGATGTTACTGCTTCAGACTCTGTATTTTGCTTTGCCATGATCATTGATAACACATATGTGCTGAAAAAAATATAACACCGATTTCAACAGTATAGTTGATTACATTGTTAATTATTAATAACGTGTTCAGAAATACTTTCACTTGACCAATCTAGTCATCTCGTAATTACCCCTTCCTTTCCTGAGACCTGCAATGGAATTCTGATTTCACTTTCTAGCTACAGCAAGTTTTTCCACTTGCAATTCCCAGCTTTGAGGTCCACCCCTGGGAATAGCACAGGAAGGGAAGGCAAGGCTGGCACCTTTTCTCCATCATTATCTCGCTGAGAAAAGGGGTGGGCAACACAGCAGTAAAAGTCCAAACCTGGCTGAACAGTAGCCGTGTGACACTTTTTACTGCTGTCTCTGCAGGTACTGACTGGGAATGGTGGACCTGTGAAGTCCTAGGTCACAGAAGATGGAAGTGAAGCAGAGGAATGACTTCTGCTCTGAGGGGGAAGAGATGGGAAGGAATTGTTCACGGTGCTGAGCAGTGACTCCTTTGGATTGGTTGAGGTTTTGTAGGGAGTTCTACACTCACTGAAATGATCCCAACCATCACATTAAGGCCCCAGGGAAGAGGCAAATTATGGGGTATTTAAGAGAACCTGAAAAAGCAAAACAGTGATTTAACCATTTTTAAAAGAAACTTACGTTTAGATCTCTGAAGTGCTCGTTGTAGTCTAAGGCATAACCTACCACAAATAAATCTGGAATTTCAAATCCGTAATCTGTATTGAGACAAATAACAAACACCATCAATACAAGACCAGGGGCAATTATATAGTCCTTAAATTCATGTGTTGGTTCTCTGACCACCAAACTAGAGATACACGTACTTCAGTTGAGGCTCTGCTGCTTTTGACTCTGAGACATCAAGGTCAGCAGCAGCCCTAGACCCAGTTCCCACTCAAAGAGTGTTTGTGCCCAGGGTGTGAGTCAGTGGAGAGCAGGAGAGCGGTGTACGTTATCAGTGGCACAAGGAATATATTGTCCAAAATCAGAGCTGAGAAATTCTGCCTATATTTGGAAGCTCCATTGGTATATGTGTGTGATGACAACTGTCCAGTATCACATTAATGATGAAAAAAAGGTGCAATTTTCATTTAGAAGTAACTTTCAGAGATTTATACCTTTTCTTCCAAGAAGAGCAAAAACTATTTTCCATATTATGCGACCAAAACATGTCAAAGGCTTCTTAGATTAAAGCCCCAACCTTACAAAGACTCATGCACATGCTTAAGAAAGTAAGTGCATGCTGTGTAGCTCTATGCGACCAAAACATGTCAAAGGCTTCTTAAATTAAAGCCCCAACCTTACGAAGACTCATGCTCATGCTTAAGAAATAAGTGCCTGCTGTATAGCTGAATCATACAACTCACAAACTTCAAGCTAAGCAGAGGCAAGCATCTTTTTGGGTGTGAGGGTTTGGGCAGTATCAGCACTATATAAAACAAGTCAGACTCTTTCCAAATTGTTCACTAAGTGACTAGAGAAAAACACAACCTTATGGACATAAAAATAGGTCAGCATAAAATATTTTAGAGGTATTCAAGTAAGGAATGTATTCAGTTGTTAAAAATTGTAATAGACACTTTGGAATCATAAATTTAGGGAAGTGAGCAAATGACACAGCACTGTCAGTGATTTACAAGATCTTTGATGTTTTGTAAAATTTATCACAGTATGAATAAACAAGGATAAAACTGGTTTCATTTTACAACATAAAAATACCAAGCTACCCTTCATGATATAATTTGATTGTATTTTTTATATGTTTAACATTAGTGAATCCAGTCGAATATATACTTTAATGTACTGGATTAAATTCTAAACATTAAAAATACTGCTGTATAAAAAGTCGTACAACAAAATGTTTGGGTGGCAGTTCAGATTATTGGGCTAAAACCACAGGACCATGCCCAACACTGAGTAACTTTTGCTTCATAAAGTTTCCCTCTCTCCCACGTCCCAAATCAAGACCCTTCATGCTGCCTCCTGGTACTCACCTGCCTACTCTCCTTCTACCCTCCTCCCCAGCTCGGCTGACCAGAGCCTTCTTCAGTAGCAAATACTGGGCGATCTCTTCTAGATGGATCTATTCTTTTCAGTATTTAGCCACATACCTGTTATTACATCATTTATTCTGATAAGTCTAAAATGACAATGGCTTGGTATAGCTCCATTTACGGCTTCATCACAGCAGAGTGCAAGTACCAGCAGCTCAGAGAGAAGCGGTGCTGGTGTGACACAAACAGAGCAGCAGGAGGAAGTTTTAAAAGCCCAATTTATCTTTTGCTTTTTAGGGGGTGGGATTTAATTACAATATCACTGCTTACCCTTTAAACAATAGCACTTAGAAAAATAATAAAAAGTATTATTCTGCTATAAAAATGCAAAACTTGCTAATAACTAGGTCACAATAAAACACCTTTATGTTCAGATGGAATCCTGCAGCTCCTCCAAAGAGACACAATGAGGAAGGAAAAGGAAGAAATGGACTTTCTCTTCCATATAGTTTGTCAGAAACAGAAAGTTAAACACCTTTCATGGATAAAATTAAACTCTTTCACAACTACCCTGCAAAGTTAGTACTCTGCAGAAAATATCAGACTACAAGGAGGCCAGGCTTTCCAAGCCACAATTATACAAATCCTTCCATTGCATCCCATAGTCCCACTGACAACTGATATTTCACAATGGTTCTAGCAGGGCACAGAACGCTATGAAAGGCAAGTGGCAGAACAGTGGCAACTTCTCCCACTGTCATGTACAGATTTTCACAGTGACACTTACAATCTGGTCTGTACCCATCAGGCCGAGATGTTCTTTTCACCAGCAAACTGCAATTAAAAACAAAATAAATCCCACGTAAATGTGGATATTTGCCTGAATAACGTGCATAAAAACTATTCCCTTTATCAAAAAACTTCTGAGCCAGGTGAATCACTGTTCTCATTCTGCTTCTCCTCCCGGCAATGCCCTGATGGCAGGGAAGAGATGGGTGTGTTCCCTCTCAAAGTCCATCGGTGCCAGCCCTGAGGTGGCTGAAGGCCATTGCTGCTGCAGAACAATACAGAGCATTTCCTCCCCCTTCCTCCACCCTCCTCTCAGTGACTCAGGCAGCTCCTCTGCCCAGCTCCCCGTGCCATGCTGCAGCATCAAATCAAAGCAGGACCTCAGAATGTGAACTTCCGCTGGAAAGTATGCTGGGTTGCACTCATTAATTACTAAGTTTTGTGATTGTCTTACTCACCTTGCCACTTTAATCATTTTTGGCTTGCATTTTTCTATGTTATTAAGCAGAACCTTCATAGTCCTTCCAGTTCCAACAATATCCTTATGAGACACGGAAAATAGAGTAAGTAAAAAACAAAGAAAAGCTGAAAAGAGGAAATGTGGACAATGACTGAGCAGTTCCACCTTCTTGTTTTATGGAAATGATGTATGTTTCCCAGTGTATTGTGAGCCACATCCAAAAAAGGTTATAATTGAGCTTACACTCTTTGAAGCAAGCACTTTCTACTCATAAAATAAACAATTAAAGGACTGTCTGCTTCCTCCTAAAAATAGCTATATTTCTAGTGCTTGGGACGTAACATGGAACTGGAGATGACTTTACCAGGCACTGCAAGGATGCAAGGATCAGACTTTTAATATTTCACTCAAGACATGACAGCATTTCTCCATGTCAGGGTTAAATCTGCCCTATTTGTTGTTTTACTAGTCCCATACAAATGCATATTCTCCAGGGCTGTTGCACCCAACCTGACCTCAATGACATCAGTAGATACGTGGCTACAACGCTGACCATGACACGGAGAGCAGCTGTTGACCCTGAACTCTGTGGGTGTGGGTTTTTCATGAGCAACACCTTGTCTCTGCTTCCCAGCTATCTAACAGCATTAACAAAGTTTGCTGCAGACATTTTTCATTTCTCTTACAGCAGTCAGCATTAGCAAATAAGGAGCTCCTCACGGCTATTGAGGTAACCAGCCATCTCTGTGGCTGGTGACTTCTTTTCCCCTCCTTTGCTAAGAAAAGACATTCCAACATAGAATCACAGAATGGTTTGGGTTGGAAGGGACCTCAAAGATCATCAAGTTCCAACCCCCTGCCCTGGGCAGGGACACCTCCCACCAGACCAGGTTGCTCCAAGCCCCATCCAGCCTGGCCTTGAACCCCTCCAGGGATGGGGCAGCCACAGCTTCTCTGGGCAACCTGTTCCAGTGTCTCACCACCCTCATAGTAAAAAATTTCTTCCTGAGATCTAATCTGAATCTTTTTTCTTCCAATTTAAAACCGTTTCCCCTTGTCCTATCATTACCCTTCCTGGCAAAGAGTCCTTCTCCAGCTCTTCTATAGGCACCCTTCAGGTGCACATAATTTCCATTTATGCATTTCCTTCGTTAGACTGTCCAGCTTAGTCCCCACACAAGCAGACTGGGCCTGGAATGCCAGTCAGATCCTGACACACTCACTAACCATCCCAGTTGCTTTTCTGACATTTTAGAAGAGACTCATCGACATTAATGAAGACAGAATTTGCAGCACCGCTGAGGCGATACATTCTTTTCCTCTGCAACTGAACACTGTTGATCTCCACCAGCAACATATCTGTGATGGGCCCTCCCCAGGGGACGCTGCAGGACGCAAGGCTGACAAACCAGAGTGGTGGGGACTTGAGAGAACGACTGCCATCCTCAACCAGCGTGGGAACAACCCTGCAGTTGTGGAGCATGTGCCCAAGACTCCTGGGTATCACCAGGCAAAGTACCAATTACAGTGGCAGCGACGTAGTCTGATCCCTCATGCAATTGCAAAAAGACCGGGAGGTTATTAAGCAAATCAACCCCTCTCCCTCTGAGCCTCCTCCCAGCCAAAGAAGTGCAAACACTTTATAGAAAAGGTTTTAGAAACCCAGCACACAATCATGGCTTAACTACATGACTCTATCTTCATGGCTTAACTGTGTGACTTTATCTAAGTACAATATGACATAAACTCCCAACTTACTTACCTCCACAATTAGAACATTCTGAAAGAAACAAACAAAAAGGAACACAATTACACAACACTCACAGACTAAAAGAAACAAATGTTTGAAAAAGTGAAACAAAGACAAGTGGGACCATGGGCGTATGTGCAACACAGATGACTTTATCTAAGTACAATATGACATAAACACCCAACTTACCTCCACAATTAGAACATTCTGAAAGAAACAAACAAAAAGGAACACAATTACACAACACTCACAGACTAAAAGAAACAAATGTTTGAAAAAGTGAAACAAAGACAAGTGGGACCATGGGCGTATGTGCAACACAGAAGGACAGAAGGAGTTTCCTGATTCATTTGTGTGCCCTGAAAAAGAGTGAGCTCTGGAGTCAGGGGCTATGACTTTATTCAGCTCTGTCTAGATTATCTTCCTTGTGCAAGAACAGATGCAGCTTTGGAAAATAGAAATAGATAGAAGAAACCCAAATGGGATGAGCTTCACTTCATTCCAGTGTGTAGAGCCGTGTACCCTATAGTTCACTAAAATACTATTTCCAATGTTAATATGAGACTACAGCAATGATATTCTTACTCTGAAATAGTCTTCCTCCCTCCCCCCATCCCCCAGAAACCTCACATAAAGGATTACAGGCCAAGTTGTACCACCCATTCTCACACTGTGAAGCACCCTTTCTCTTCAAATACTGCTGCTGAAACCAGCAGTGTTACTTGAAGAGCAAGGCAGTGGTCCTGTCAAGAGCAGTGATGTCAAGCCTTAGGACAGCATGATCACACAGGCTGCTCTTTTTGCTGAAATGGTTTACCACAGTTCCGGGAATCACAATATCTAAGGTGACTTCAGTTCTTCTATAAAAGCAATAATAAGAAGTAACATCCTTATTAGAAGAAATAAAAATCTACTTATTAGTGGGCATTATCATATGCATGTACAAAAGGATGGACTCAGACTCTTGCATTCAGATCTACTTTCTGAGGTGAAACCTGCAATAGGAAGAGGAAGGTTATTTCACAAATACCTCACATGGAGGCTGTCTAACTTCCCTTCCCATCACTGAACCCCAAAGTTGAGAATTCTGAGACAGACCCAAGTACCATGGAGACAGAGTGTGTGAAGGGAGCGTGCTCATGAACAGCACACCTTTGACAGCTTCATTAACTGATACGTAAATCTTTTTTTAATCTTGACAACAGAAATAATATATTAATATAGATTAGCCATATTTATATTCACACTGCAGTTCCTCCTAACAATCACAGTGCTTGGCAGGGAGACATAGCATGCTCCATGCATCAACCACTGCAGAAACCTGTTACCATACACTATATTATACCTGGGTGCTTCTGCAATGGCAAAACACCTGGTAAAGGTGTGGAGGGAACTCCTGGTAGTAGTTCAGCAGATGTCAGCAATGGAGATATCACTCCAGAAAGCCACTAATTTAGGCTGAGCTCCAGTGGAATGTGTATTAATCTTGGAGGGTGGCTCTTTTTTGGTGTTTTCATAATAGGTTTCACTGGTGGTTGTCCTGCTTGGCACTCCTAACCTTCAACTTCTCAGCTGCTGACACAAACAACTCTGGATCTGAAAGACCTAGCCCCGTGGAGGTGAAAAGTCAAAGGCCTCTTAACAATAAAAGTCCAAAGACAACCTGCCTCTGGAAATTTCTTCCTTCAAGAAAGAATGGAAGAATGTCAGTCTTTTAGATAAGACGAAGAGACCAAAAGTGTGTTCAGGAGAAGCTTACGACAGGTATCTGTCTTGAAGGAAGCCATTTGGATCCAAAAAGGATGTGGCTCTCATCTGCCTTCCTGGATGAAGTCATAACGAGGAAAAACACTTCCAAAGACTAGCCCAGGACACCTGGGTCTGAGGCATAAGCAAATCACTTGATTCTGTCAGTGGACACCTGAAGGTTATGTACAGGAGTAATCGTTTAACCACCCCCCAGGGAACTTGCACAGCTGGTGATACACGTAAATATTTATGTATGTATATACACACACACACATATATATAAAATATAGGGAAAGAGCAGAAGAGTTGCCAAGAAAAGAGCCTCACCAGAACTAAAGATGGAAATGAACTCCTTTAGTACCAGCAAACAGTCCAGGAGGACTGTGAGTGGCACCTGGTAAGAGAGGCTGACCTGCCATCAGCCTGACACCCAGACCCATTCTGCCAGTTCCATGCATCTCTTGCTGCTCTTCATACTATTGACAAGAACTTTTCTCCCAAAGGAAGAGCAAAGATCTTCTCGTGCAAAACCAATCCAGTGGCTATGGCACGAGACGGGACAGATGAAAACTGACAACCACAGCCCAATGATGTCCAGGCAGGTCCATAGTGATGAGGCAGCTCCAAGGTTAAACTGGGAAGTCAGCCTGTGGGATAAGGGTTGGGATCAATGTCTGTAGAAACATACAGCCATGGCTGTAGCTGAGCTGAAGATGGGTACCCACACAGCATGGCTAAGGCCTAGATGAAGAGCACAGGGCTGAGCTGAACTGATGCTCCTGTGCCCACAGTTGTGGGTAGGGGTCCCAGGTGACATAAGCCACAGCCATTAAGGCCTATTCATGCGCACGAGGCTGTGACAGATTGAGAGAAAAGCACAGTCCTGGGACATTTTGGTGATAGAGAAGTATGGTTTTTTTGCTACCACAGCTGCTTCAGGTATCCTATCATGAGCAGCAATAGAGATTCTCTTGCTTACTCCCACGTGGAAATCATAAAATCAGAATGGGGGGACAGGAGCCTCCCAGGCCATGGAATCGAGATTAAACCAATAGGGAGGTGCAGACCTTACTAATTATCTTGTGAGAAAAAAATCATAGACATTAATAGAAAATGCGGCTCAGGAGACCAGGAAAGATCAAGATTACTCTGTTGGCCCAAAGAATCAACTTCAAATTATCCCTCATGGATAACCGATTTGCCTGTTCTTGAATGTGATGAGGACTTCAGAACTTCCCCAGGCAATGTGTCTCAGTGCCTCACCATCTAAGAGCCAAAATACAGTTAGAAAACTTCTATTTGAGCTGAACTTGCTTTGCAGTGGACACAGAAAAAGTTCTATTTTCTTAATTTTTTCACTTCTGTATTTGAAGACAGATGTATTTCCTCAGTTTCCTCTTCTTCAGATTAAACAAGCCTATATATTCAACATTTTCTCACAAGTTGTATTTTCTAGCTTGTATTTTGCTCTCCTCTGGAACCTGTGCAGTTGGTCGGAATCCTTCTCCAGTTGTGGTGCCCCAAACCTTTTCTAGTTGTCTTTTCTAGTGTCAAAAAGAATAAAAGAACCACCTTGTACGCTTTACAAATAATCCTCCTTTCCATATATTCCAGTCTAACAGCTACATCTTTTATAAAGGTAGGCTGTTGTCTCATGAGCAACTTGTGATCCAGCTCTCATCTCCAGCTCAGAACTGTTGCTTAGTCAGTCTTCCTCACTTGCGTTTATGCAAGAGATTACTTCTATATAAACAGAGAAGTTAGTATTCATCTTTATTGTCATTACATGTCATTCTTTGAACCAAATTCTTAAAATAATTTCTTAAGATCATAATACTCCCTTGTAGTATTTTTCCAGGTAGTATCACTAGCATTAAATGCTAATTCTATCTTTTAAATCATGAATTAAATATTGTATAGTCCCCGGAGAACATGCTTTAATGCATCCCGTCTGACAGTGAAGCGTAATTAACTGTTTCTTGAGAACAGTTTTCCAACCAGTTATACATCCGTCTAATAGAAATTTAATCTTGTCTACATTTTCTTATCACAAATGACTCACATGAAGGAAAGAAGATTAACATGAATCCAGACGTGCCTGAAGGGCTTGTCTGGCCCCAAGAGCGATAGTCACCTGCACGTGACTTCAACTGAAGTGCAAGATCTCATATCTGTTGACTAACTTGAGAAGGAAGGATATTGCTGGACCCTGAAGTTGTCTGACCAGCATTCTGTTATTCTTCCCTCTTCTCCTCAGAGTCAAGGAGTCCAATGGTTGCAAATGACATGCCCTGGGAGATTCAGTCCTGTGAAAGTCCCTTTAATCAGGCAGTTCTCTAGGTCAGGAAACATGGATTCTGTTCTGCATTATGCACATCCGCATTATTTCCAAAACATTGATGAGGATTTTCTGTGCTATGAAAAAATCCTGTACGTAAGGACTTCGTAGTGGAAAAGCCACTATAAAACATTTAGCAGTGAAAACATTTTTTATATATAAATAAGCAGGGATCCTGATCACTGAGAGTGATACATGAATCCCTGCTTTGATTAAGCAAGGTTACTGTGACTGAAGTCACCATATTTAACTTTTGCTTATGACTGAAGGCATTCAAAATGGTTTGCCATCCCCTGGTGCCAGAAACCATCTCCTTCTAAACAACAGGATGTGCTGGGAAACTGTCTGTATTGCTGCCTATCCCCTGTCTTTCTCCTGCTGAAGCAGGCTCCTGATAGAAGGGTTCCAGTAAAGGGATGGCATAGCTGAGCAGTAGAGGAACAAACTGCCAAGAAATGTTTTGATGTACAGTATCCAAGACTAGACAGCAGTTGTGTGCAACTAAAACTGGTTGAACTAGACTCGCTTATCCTTGAGCAGATGAATAGAAGAAGATAAAAGAAGAATGCAATGGATATAACAAATTGGTACATTATCAGTTATGTGACCATCATCCTAAATGCACAACTGGTTGCATCCAGCATATCTTGTGAAAGGTCACATTTATGTGAAAGACCTTATTCAGCTGCACCATGAAATCACCTGTGAGCTGGTGGGCAGGAGACTGGTCAAACTTACCAGCCTGTGGTGCAGCAGTTACTGATAGCTGGACAAACAATAGGAAGCTAAAGGACTCTGAAGAAAAGATCTTTTTTCAAGTATATGTGTTTGAAGCTTCTGCAACACATAGATCAAGACTGTTTTGTCCTTTCAGATATATCTGAGGCAATTGCAGAGGAGGAAACCACATGAAAAGAAAAGTAATCCGGCCTTCTGGAATGCATTTGATATTTTCTGTCTATTTTTGGAGCCTGGAGAACAGGAAATAGGAATATATACTGTCGTGTTGACTAGACTGAGGGTGGCTTAATTTCTGAGTAGAGCCATCTTCACCAATACAATCTGTGAAGTACGTCCAGAAACCTAATAATGGTGCTAATATATCTTACAGTGAGACACA